AGAAAGATTGCAAGAGCTGGGCCTGTTCAGCCTGGAGAAGAGAAGATTGAGAGGGGATCTCATCAACGTGTACAAGTATGTGAAGGGGGAGTGTCAAGAGGATGAGGCCAGTCTCTTCTCCGTGGTGCCCAGCAACAGGACAAGAGGCAACGGGCACAAACTGAAGCACAGGAAGTTCCATCTGAACCTGAGAAAAAACTTCTTCACTGTGAGGGTGACAGAGCATTGGAACAGGTTGCCCAGAGAGGTGGTGGAGTCTCCTTCCCTGGAGATATTCAAAACCCGTCTGGATGTGATCCTGGGAAATATGCTCTAGAGGACCGTGCTTGAGCAGGGAGAGTGGACTAGATGATCTCCAGAGGTCCCTTCCAACCTAAACGATTCTGTGATTCTGTACTCCACGCTCCTGGCTCCATCAAACGAAGGTGCCTGGAAAGTTTGTTGTAGTGGCTGACTGCTGGGTGGGCACGTGCAAAATACAAAGCAAAGTCCAGCGGAATTTCAGTGTCAAAGTCTGGCCCTCAATTTGCATGAAATGCTTCCTGTTTGCATGCTAGAATCATTACTCTCTCACTCAGCAGTAAAACTAATGTATTTCTAACATTAATTTGTCTTTTTTTGCATTCACCAAATGTGCTTTCTGAAGCAGAACATCGTCTTTTAAATAAGATTTTCTCTTTTCCCACACTTTTGTATGTAATATATATATATCCCTCCACAGTTCTTTCAGAGGAACTGTATTAGAACTGTCCATTGCTACAGTTATTTTTATTTTAATATGTTTACTTTCGTATTAATAAATTTACATTCATCTGTAGCCCCTCCCTATGTATTGTATTTTATTTTTTAATCAAACCATACGTTTCATTGCTACTGATCATTTGTCCCTTGTAATTGCATTAAATGTGGCAATAGCAATTCCATCTGATTACTCTCACATTCATAAAACTCTTTACAAAATAAGACTCCTCAACCGTTTCTGTAAAGACCCTTAGAGTGAAGAGTGTAAGTACTGTCTGCTTAATAGGCTGAACATTAACTCAGTGTGAAGATATCAGCTCATATTTTAGCACGATGTTTTGACTTAACATTTACAATTACCTCAAAATTAAAATCATTACTATTCCAACAAACACTGAATTAAATCCTAAAAGCACTGTTCACCTTGCTGTGGGCTTCACATGTCATATTTACTTATTCCTCTAGGATTTTTTTCTCTATTTTATTACAGTTTCTTCTCTTACACTGGACTTCTAAACAGGCATACCAACACAACATATGTAAAATGACTTGCATTTCACAGAAGTAGGAACATGATAGTGGTGCCCTTGTAATTATTCAACATATCAGAATCTTTAAACAGGTGAATATTTCCTTACTGAATCTTTTAGCAAAACTATGTTCACCAACCCCCTTTTTAAACTCTGTGATTGGGTCTACCGGTTATATGGTATTTTCAGCATAGCCTCAGGATCCTTTTCAAGCATACATTGTCTTCCAGGCTTTATTTATTACAAGTACCGTTTATGCCTTCATCTATTCTATTATTCATTAGTTCTCTCTGTTAAGTGTTTCAGTTTATTTCTCCGATTAAGACATCGGTTTTACTCTTCAGTAAAACTGTGCCCATTGCATTCACTAGTGTTGCAGATCTGCTTTCAGAAACCACAGGGTGTCACAGAGCTACTGAATCGTGGAACAGTTGAGGTAGTAAGTGACCTTGTCTAGTTCAGCCCCTGTGCTCAAAGCGGGCGTCAACTACAGCACATAGCTCAGGGCCATGTCCAGTTAGGTTTTCAATATCTCCAGCGATAAGAGACACCGCAACCTGTCCGGGCAGGCAACCTGCTCCAGTGTTTAACCACTCTCACAGTAAAAAAGCTTTTTCTTATGCTCAAGTGCAATTTCCCGTATTTCAGTTTATGCCCATTGCCTCTTGTCCTTTCACTAGGAGCCCCTGAAAAGAGTCTGGTTCTATCTTCTTTACTCTCTCCCATCAGGTATTTAAATATATTGATAAAATTCAACCCCACCCCCACCCCACCCCCCCACCTTCTCCAGGCTGAACAGTCCCAGCTTGCTCTGTCTCTCCTTGTACGTCAGATGCTCCAGTCCCTTAAGCATCTTTGTGGCTGTTCACTGGACTTGCTCCAGCAGCTCCACGTCTCTCTTGTAGTAGGGAGCCCAGAACTGGGCACAGCATTCCAGACGCAGTCTCACCAGGGCTGAGCAGAGGCGAAGGAACACCTCCCTCAACCTGCTGGCAATGCTCCTCCTAATGCAGCCCAGAATGCCATTAGTCCTTTTTTCCCCAAGGGCACACTGCTGGCTCATGGTCACCTTGTCCAGCAGTACTGCCCGGTTCTTCTCTGCAAAGCTGCTTTCCAGCTGGTCAGCCCTCAGCCTATATTGGTGAATAGGGCTATTCCTCTCTAGAGGCAGTACTTGGCATTTCCCCCTGTTGAACTTCATGAGGTTCCTTTCTGCTCATTTCTTCAGAGTTGAGGTCCCTCTGAGGCAGCACAACCATCTGACTTATCACCCACTCCTCCCAGTTTTGTGTTGTCCATAAACTTGCTGAGGGTGCACTCTGTCCCATCATCCAGGTCATTAATGGAAATGGCAATCAGTATTAGACCCAGTATTGACCCCTGGGGTACACGACTAAGCAGTGGCCTCCAAGTGGATTTCATTCCACTGATCACAACCCTTTAAGATCAGTAGTTCGTCCAGTTTTCAGTTCACCTCACTGCCCCTGATCTAGCTTGTCTTGTCCTTCATATGCTTGGAAATGGTTTCCAGGATTATTTGCTCCACCACTTTCCCAAGGATTGCGGTGGGGCTGACGCTGCCTGACCTGCCTGTAGCCCCCCAGGATTCTCCTTTATTTCCTTTCTTGTAGACAGAAGTGGCACTTGCTTTCTTCCAGTCCTCAGGAACCTTTCCCAATCACCACAATCTTTCCAAGATTATCAAGAGTGGCCTCACAATGACACTGGGTCAGTAAGTTCCTGCATCAAGCCTGTAGGGCAGTCCTTTTCCTGGCCTACCACAGGCTGATCCATTTTGTGTTTGCTGCCTGTTTTCTCCTGCCAAGGTATCTTTTCAGTTTCCAGATTGGTATGCAAGTTCTCTTTTCTTCCTTTCTGTGAATTGCTTTGTTAGAAACATGAATTGTAGCAAAAGTTTACTATTCAGTATCATGAACTTCACCACCAAGCGGTCGTTCATTCTTCCTGAATAAATGGAAGTCTAGCTAGTCTAGCTAGACTAGTCTAGTCATTTTTTGTTTACATCCATGTTACACTCTCCATAAAACAGTAGCATGACATATAAAGGAAGAAGTAAAACCTGGAGACTGACACTGACTGATAAAGGTATCCTTAATTCATTGCCTTCATTCCTATACTTGGTGTAAGCATAAAGTAATATTAATATGAAATTGTTTGCCAAGAGGTTTATTTATGGCAATACTATCTTGACACTACAGTAGGATTGGGGTGAAGGGAAGGGTGTCAAATTTCTATTTAATCAGGAACTTCTTAGGTATACCTGAGTGGTACTTTGGTCAGTTATAAAATAATCATTGTTTTGGCATGACAGCATCATTACAGTATGTTCTGCCTGGAAGCTTTTATTCCAAGTATTTATACTCAGCATCACGAAGTTTTAATTCAAAAGGTTACAAAGCTAGGACTTACTGTGATCATGACTAATTTTGTGCATCACACTTTCAGGGTGCAGATAGACATTAAAAAATGTTTTAGGTAAAAAGAAGTGCTGGACCAAAATGAAATGCAGATAAATACAGAGCTAGATGCATGCTGCATCGGTGGACATGAGTTTTACAGAAATTATACCCATTCAGAGTACAAGTAGGTCAGTTTTGCTGCAGCTTTCATCATAAACTGAATCATTACCAACAAACACTCACAAATCTTCTAGCAGTCAAAACATTGAGAGCTTATCGCTTTATGTTTAGATCTCCCAGTGACTTCAAGAAAAGAATATATTGTCTGTTCAATGCAGGGAATAAATAAAATGCAACAAAATATCAATTTAAAGTCATAAGCCTTGACGTATAAAGAGTTTACTACAGAGGAATGAATTACCATGTGTTGGCTACTGTGAGGTATCTGTCCATATGCACTTTCTTCCTCCCCTGCAAATGCAACATAATAACATGTAGGGTTCCTCTCAGATAAAGAAGTGTAGGCTATATAGAGAAGTTAGCATGGTAATTTATTATCTCCCAATAATTTGTTCATATGTCACTATCTATACTTCCATAGAGTTTAAATGCAAAGGTGTTATTAGGATTACCTAGTCTAAGATTCTTCACAACGCTAGCCAGCAAGCTGAATTCAGTAATTCCTAGATTGCCCTCAATAACTTCTTGATCTAGATTATGTACCTAGAAAGACATGCTAGACATCTTAGCATAAAGCACAGCACTGAATCACATGACACAGGCTACTATGTCATTCACTGCTTATTAAAAACATACATGATTTTCTGAATTGGATCTCAAAACTGCAGGGGATGAAGAATGATAACTTTTCTTGATTAACTATTTCAAAGGTTAACTCATTTTCTACTTTGAATACTTCTGGTTTTATGGTTTTTTAGGATTTTAGTACTTTGGATGCTGATAATAAATGCCCTCTCTAATTTATAGACAAGCAAAATCAAAAGGGCATAAAAATTAGCTTTTTAATAGACTAAATGGAAGGAGTAACTAAGCGCCCCCCTCCCCCCCCCGGGAGTGTTAACTAACTAATTAACTAACTACGTTGCAGCTCAAGATGGGAAATGTGGAGAAGGTCTCCTGGGTGTTAGGAGACTTATTACAGGTGTATATATTCCCTGAGAGGAGCAGGTAAAGGAATGTCTATGTGATCAAGCCATATAAGGGTTTTTTTGGAGCAAAATTCCAGAAAGCCCAGGCAGATTTTGATTTCTGACCAAACAAGCTGCCTCATCTTGATTTTTTCTACAATTTACTATTTTCCAGAAAACAGGATGTTGTGTACATTCTTTTAAATTATCAGGATTGCCACTGTTGGACTATTCTCCATTTCTCTTCTTAATGCAAGAAAAGCTCTAAATATTGGCTAGCCACTCCTACCAAAGGCAATAAATTTGTTCATTATATGCAAAACCGAAAAATTTACCTTCCAAGCTTTTATGGAACTACCATCACAGTAATATTTGCACATTTTACAGCATAATAAAATAGATTTTTTGTCATGAGGTTCCAGAAGTGGGATGTGACATATGAGATTTATATGGAGATTTTAAACCCTGAAGGTTCACTGTTTGAATTTTATTAAAAAGTGAATCACAATCCAGTTTTTTCAGGGCACTGCTTAAAATTCAATAACACGACCACACCTGTAAAGGGAGAAAAAAGAATGAAAATAGGACCATGTATTAACAGTTTAAACGGTGATATCGCTTTCTTTTGTAGTGATTTAATTCCATGACTTTTAAAAGTGTTACGCCAACCACTTTCAGGAAAAGTTGGTCTCGATCTAGGTACCTTTAGGCAGTTCACCTAATGTGGTTTACTCTGTCTGAAACAGGATTGATAATTGGATTTTTCCCTCCCAGACAGAATTTACTGTGGAAAGTGACAACCATGCTGCGTCTGAAACAGACACAGATAAGAACTCAAAAAACAAGGGTGACTGTAGATCCACAGTGTATAACCCTAATCCTACGCTCCCATACAGTGGTTCCTGGCATAATTTAGACAGGCCTGAAGTCCCAGTTAAGTCATGGCTATCTCCCCAGGCTGCTCCATGGATGGCTGAATTGCCTGAAATCTCCACAGTGCCAAAGTGCTGTATCCACCTTTACAAGACATCCTGAAGGCGCAGTACATGCACTGGTAAACCTGTGGTTGGGTTTAAGATGCCCACAATTTTTCACTGGGTCTTTAAACCAGCACAAAGTCTCCAGAGCAGTTTGCTCTTTCATCACCTTTGATATTCACCACAAATGTTGTCTTGGCATTTTACATTGGTAACTGCTCATATCACAGGTTTTAATAATATAGGTATTTTGTACCACATCCACGCTCTCAACTTTTGAAGCTCTTCTTTTTTTTTTTTTTGAGCTGCAAGATAACAATGTGGTAATGATTTCAGGACCAAAACTAAACCGGAATTCTTGTACTGTTCTTATTTTAAGATACAAAATATCCAGTTTCAAGCATGTAGTGCCATATTTATATATAATTGTCTCAACACATAAACTAAAAACTGATGTGGAATTGCTAAAAAGCTTTAGTTCTAAGTACTTTTAGTGTTGCAGTAAGTCCAGTGTTCTACTACCATAAACAGCACAGTATCATTCCTAAAAAGTTGCTTCTACGGAGAAGCTGTTCAAAAATAACACTTCACCAATGGTTAGAATTCTGATTCTGAATTTCCAGCTTAAATTTATTCATGATCAATTTGTAGCCATTTGCTGTTCTGCAAGAACTGTTCCTGAGCTAAACAGCTCTTTTCTCACCCTTGTTTACCACTTCTGATACATTTCTATCATAGTGCCTCATAAAGTAGGTAAAAAACAGTACTAGAATAGAGTCCTTCAGTGACTGCACATTTTCAGTGAGATTCCTCTTCTCATAAAAACTTTCCAATGACTGGGACTGAGCCCTCATAACCAAAACTCTCCTCCTAAAATCAGCCATGGGTATGTTTGACATTTGTTGCCTTGATACACCACTGCCCTTCTTCTCAAAGAATGAAAGTTTCCTCTTTGCCCTACTGGTGATGAAGGCTAACCACATCCTGTGTTGTATTAGAAAAAGTATAGACAGCAAGTCAAGTGAAGTACTTATGAGACACATTTGAGGTACCGTGTTCGGTTTTGCACTCCTGAGTACAAGGAGGACATGGAAATACTGGAATAAGTCCAATAGAGGACCACCAACAAAGGAAATTTTGATCAGATCTTAGGAAAAAACAATTTCAGCATGAGAGCAGTCAAACACTGGAACAGGTTGCCCACAGAAGGTGTGGAATCTTCATCTCTGGAACTATTCAAAACTTGACTGGACAAGGCCCTGAACAACCTGATCTAACCTCAAAGTTGACCCTGCTTTGAGCAGTGTTTGGATCAGATGACCTCCAGAAGTCCCTTCCAATGTAAATTAGTCTGTGATTCTAAGACAACCTGAGTTTCCAATTCTGTCTTGCTATTGTAATCTTTTGGAACTGAATCAAAGAATTTCCTTGTGTTATTTGTTGTGAAGGATGAAGAAGTGATGCTTCCCTCCTAGCATCTTACCTTTTTGCTTTTGGAGCACAGTTTTCTTTTTTCTAGACCTGCTCTTGTGATAGGCCTGTCAATTTTCCTTAAAGAGGAAACTTCACCCATGCAGATCTGGTAGACCACCACCTTCCTGGTATTGGTATTAGTCTTCCGCTCTTTCCCTCCTGAAGCTGGGTCATTCTGTAAGATGCAACCTGGGGGTCAAAGAGGATACCAAGTTGTCTCCACAAAAGAGAAAACAGCATGCTCTCATCCCAAATAAAGCAAACAGCATACCAGGCTGCATTAGAAGGTCAGCAGCCAGAAGATAAAGGTAAGCTGTCATTCCCCTCTACTCAGTGCTAGCGAGGCTGTTCCTTCACTACAAGCGTGCAGCTTCACCCACCCTTTTGGAAACCCTCTTTGGCTCAGAAAGGATGTTGAGAAACTGGAAAGTCCAGCAAAGGAATATGAAGATGGAAAGGAGCCTAGGGCACGTAACTTACAGGGTGAGATCAAGGGAGCTGATTTTGGTCAGTCTGGTGAGGAGTCTTTAGTGTGATCTAATAGTGCCCTCCAACTATTTGAAAGGGAAATTCAAAGATGACAGACTTGGTAGTTGCAGATAGTACTGCAAGGGGCAATACCAGCGATTTGCAGCTTGCGAAGTTCAGATTGAACATTAGGAAAAACTTCTTCACTAGGAGGGTGGTACCACACAAGGACAAAGAGTGTGTGCAACCTCCATCGTTGGAAGTTTTTAAGACTCAGCTAGACAAAATCCCGGCTCACTCAAGTAGTTGTTGAAAGTCCTGCTTCAATCAGGAGGGTGGACTAGGTGAACTCCAGAGGGCCTTCCAACCCACACTTTTATATATCCATATTCTAATTCAGGGTCTCCTGTATTGTGTTGTTACTCCTCCTACTGTGTTCCCTGGCTATCTCCATTTTTTACATCTTCTTATGGAGCTAACTTCTGTTCTTTCCAGTAAACCAGTCTTCTATTTTTATCTTTTCCTTGCTCACGTTCTTCAGTAATTTAAACTGGTTTTTCAGCTCTGCTCTTCCTCCACTAGTGATCTCTTTCTCCAGTTTGACCTCTTGTTGTATGTTTTTTGGGCCATCCAACTTATTTAAGCATCTGGTCTCTATGTCTTTTCATTTAATAGGCGTTTATAAATTTCGAGTTGCCTGCAAAACCTCCTATCTCTCCTCCTTTGCCCTGTATTTTCAGATTGTTCTTTCACCAGTCTTCCAGATGCAGGGCTAATACTCAGTTCTTTTCTTCTGTCTGGCAACACTTCATCAGTAGGCAATTTCTATCAGGTAACTATTCAAGATTATAAACTATCCTACAGCTTCTGCATCAAGTCCTTCCACGCCTCTTCCATTTTTTAGTCAGATTTAATACATTAAAGACACTATCTCCCTCCATCTCCTACCTGTTTTTAATAGGCTGTGGAGTTTTTCTGGAGGTGTCACGCTGAGTCAACAACAATCCATGCAGACATGAAAATATAAAGTAACTTTTAAAGACTATCAAGCTTGTGAAAGAAGTTTGGCCTGACCTTTTTAAGGACATGTGGTATTTAAATTAGTTCTGTGAGTAAAAGATAATTTAGATCAAGTTTCCCTAAATTTAAAGAGAAAATTGTACTTCCTTCATATCACCCTATAAAAATATTTTTTTCCTGTTCTTTATTTCTTTGCTTTTATGGTCACTTTCTTCAGCACTGGCTGCTTCCATTGTTAAATCTCAGCAGTTAACTGTCCATCAGCTCTGATTAAAAGCAGAAAGCTTGAGCTCCCTCGGCTGCATGTTGTCTATTTTACTTAGCTGCTCTGGAGAAGACTCTGCAAACTAAAACTGCAGCAAACCACAGAGCCTACAAACTTTAACCAAGCCAACTACCACCAACCATTGAAACCTTATATTTGATTTGAAATTAAATGGGAAACTGAGAGAACATGTCGCAACTTTTGGTATTAGTTGAAGTTTCCTAAATTCAGCAAATTTAATTCCACCAGCAACCCAGAAGTTATATAGCCAGTTTGAGATGTGAGAAAGTGCAAGTAACTGAGGCAAATTTCTAGTGCTACTAACTCACCACTACATCATGGCTGTCATGGTATGTGGTATTTTTCTTTAATAAGCTTGTTCCTAGAATCAGAAGATTACAGGAGGATATCAAACTTCTTTCAGATTTAACAGCTTAAGGAGAGGCATTGTATTCTTTTGCTTGTGGTGTACTGCAAACAAGATCTGTTTACTCTGAGACACTATCAGTCCTAAAGATCTACTTATTGAACTGCTTTGCTCAAGAAAAATGGCAACAAAGTACTTTATTTATGCATAATGTGTTTACAATTTTCACAATAAAATGACATACAAAAGGTTCACATACCACATTGTCCCAACCCATGCTTACGGACTTTAATTTCAGAACAGGCAGTTCAGCGATAATTCAGATCTAGATAAAACTGGAACAGAATAAAGGAGTACAAGGAAGATTTTTAGACACATTTTGTAGTTGATGGCGGGATAACAGCTGAAGAATATGTAGTTTTTTAATTGTTTGCTTATTTAGCTTCAGTTTTCTTCTATAAAATCACTTTCTCCGGATTTTTTAAAATGTTGTATTGATCCATCTTTACCCCCTATTTTTTGGTTATTACTAGATATAACATTGCACAGTGACACCATCTGATCCTATGTTCCACACCTATCACATTAGCTGGATGCCAAAAGGCCTGTTAAGACTATGCTGTACTATAAGCTGCCATTTTCTTCCTCTTGTGACTTTATGTTGTCTTACCACAGTCTTATGTGACAATTTTCTGTATGTCCTAGTCTTTGTAATATGTAAGCATAATTTCATCACAGAAAGATATGACAATAACTTATAATATGCTGACAACAGGAGCCTCGGAATGATCCTTTTAGGGCTTTTCTCTTTTATCATCATAATTTGCAAAAACTTACATAAAAATACAAAGCAACTCATGAGGAGCATTAGGGCTATGACAGAAGCTTCTGTCTGGTCTTTTGGGGACTCAGTGGATTTAGATTAGTTCTGTAAGTAATGAGGAATTCAGAAAAAGACATCTGAATGACTAAATAACTAGGGGAAAAATGGAACCATTTTATTCTGGCTTAGAGCTTTGAACTGCCTTCTATGCACTGGGTTTGTTTTTTTTTTCCCCTCAAGAATATTTGATTGGGTTAAAAAAAACCTTCTCGTCTCATACTTTAAGAGAAAATTTGCAACCAAAGGGTTATCCAAATTAGGAGAGTGAAATTAAAGGTAAAGATTAATCAGCTGATGGAAATGAAAGACCCTTCCAAGTATCATTTTGATTATGCTGAACTGATGAACCTATTTGTTCCTGAACAAACGGATTTAAGAGATGGAGTTGTTTTTCCTGTGTTAGGTGCTGTACAAATCAGTTTTAAAATTTATGAGAGACTATCCCTTTCTAAATAACTTAACAAAGGATACAGTAAACAAATTTAGTGAATAATAGGAAGCAGGAACTATGAGATTTAAAACTACGATAATTAACGAATTAAGATAATTCAAATAGGCAGTCTCTGTTCACACCTAATCATGATCTCAGTTTCTCTCTATCAAGCTGATCCTGAACAGAGTTATGATAATTTCACTGAATTTCTACATAATGAGCACAGTTAATTATGTAAGAAACTAAGCAATGTTTTGCAGAACCCAAAGGTCTTTCAAAACTGTCTGTTTTCTAGGATTCTCTGCCAGCCTAGGATCATTATATAACCAAATCACACTTTTAGCTACAGGTATTGATAATGACAGCTATTGATAACATGCTATCCAGTGCCCCAAACTAAGCTCATTTAAAGACAGCTTTAAAGTCAGAACCAGCTTAAAGTGCCGCTTGTTTTTTCTGTATCTTGATTAATCCCACGTAGAAGTTAGGCTGCGGTTAGATGTAACAAGTGGGAGATGTCAGTATCCAGCATTCTAAGAAATCAGAAGGTAATCAGAAAAGATTGCCCAGTACCTCAAGCACTGTTAGGAGACCACAGTTCCTGCTGCCACACAGAGTTCCTACCTTGTTTCAGCCAAACTGCTTGCAGTCTGATCCGTAACGCCGTAACCGCATGGCTCAGGATCAGGCTTCCTCCCTGCTTCCAGTACAGCATATTTAACCTGCTTTTCTGCACAGAGGTCCTGCTGCAATAAGATCATGCCCCATATCAGACTATCCAGTACCCTAATGGTTAAGGCAGCTTCATGGGAGATGTGGATTTTAAATTCTTCCACCTGAAAAGAGAGAAAAAATGGAAGTGCCAATGTCTCCATTTCCCAGTCAAATGCTGTAACCAATTAGGATATCATATCAAAGGAACAGTACAACCAAAGTTTACTTGCTCCCTTCATAGATTACTTGTAGGTACTTACTCTCAGAGAAAGAGATTAAATTCTTACCTTGCAGTCTTGAGTTAGGTACTTTAAGTCCCAAAGAGAATGAATTTTCAGATGTACCTCTGAATCACCAGTAGCTTTTGGATAATTTAAAGTGGCTCATTACATGAATTTTTTTGGATTACCCTGACTTTGTCTATCCTCCATATTGAGTTTTGAATTCCACTCTTGAGTCCCAGTTTCACAAAACTTGGCTGTTCTGGGCTGAAACTATGGACACTTGATCACTATAACAGCTCTGGCTGATGCATCTCTGCTATATCTACACTGTCATGTTACCTGGGGCCAGAGTCCAAACACTCTGGGGACTATATTGCCTGCACATTGACTCTCACTTTGATTCTCATCTGGAAAAAGCAAGGTGCCTCTCCAAAATAAGAATCTGAGGCAGACAGCAAGACTGGCTCATACTCGAGCTCCTGCTCCTCCAGGCCATACAGCCATAGCTCAAGCCATTTGGTTCTTTGAATTCAAACACAGATTTCAAAGACAGTAAAAACAAAGCACTGCCTTAATTCCCCATGCATATGTAATAAGGGGAGCAGCAGAGCTCTTCTACCTTACAGGGCTTAGGAAGATAATACATTAATACTTTGGAGTCACTCAGGTAACACACGATGTGATCCACACGCCAAAAAGATAAAACGTATTGGGTGGTGTAGACTGGGAAGAAAGATAGAGGAAGTTATAGATCATTAATCCTCAGGACAGATTTACATTGTCCTAAATCCTAGTGAAAGCTTCTTTATGTACACCAGCTGAGTATAGCTGAAGGGCAATGTACTTGCAGCTCTCCTTGCACAGGAGGGGAATGGGGCAGGAGCCAGCTAAACAGGCTGAATGCCAGCTGAGTCCCCTAGTGCCAGGGGAATTCTCAGCTGGGAAAATCTGGTTGCCTTCCAGCTTTGTTCCTCTACATACATATACATGTATGTGTGTGTGTGTGTATCTATCTATCTATATATAGAGAGAGATATATATATCAGAACTTTTAAATTTTCCTTCTGTATGTTTTCTCACTTCACTAAGATTTTTATCTCATATCCAATCTAACACAGAATAAACCTGCGGCTGCCTAAGCTGCAATTCCCCATAGCTTTTATGTAAGGCAGATTTTAAAATAACCACCTTGACAAAAATTCCTAGGTCTCTCTTCTCAGAAAAATGAAGAGTAAATATCTTGACAGTGTAATGGCTGGAATACCTGTAACTGAGATAAAATATAGGTAGGCACTCCTGAGATCTGCAATAACAGAAAATATCTTTTCACACCTGGCCCAAAAATAGCTGGCTGAAGGTATTAGCTAAAAGCAGAAGTGAAGAGGAAAGACCTAAATGGATTTCAAGTTAAGAGTAAGTGTTCATTTCTTCCTTGCTGGGAAAAGGAAAAAAAAAAAAAAAAAAAAAAACCTATTTTACTAGTTACCAGGTGTTTCTAATTTCATTCATTTCATTAACTTCTTACAGCTTGTTCAGCCAGCTCTTCGGACAATTGATTTTTATTACTACATGCTTCAGTGACTTTCTACACTAGATTTTTTCATTGGCTATACAGTTCTTCAAATCTCTTAAGAGTTTTATTCTGTCTTTTCAGAGTTTAGCCTGTCTTTTCCATCAACCTTATCATTTATTTAGCATATTCTTCTATAATGCAAATATTACTTATTTCTCAGATGTGTCACATTTACATACATGGTTGCTGCTTTCAGAGATGTGATTTCAAACTTCTCAATATAGTGCTGCTGCTAGTGAAAATGGCTGACAAGACAGAATATAAGATCATGATATTTTAACTTGTTGATATACACTGAACATCTGAAACAACAATCTTTGTAAAGTACTTTCTAATAACACAGCTTCTAAAATACACAACTTACAAAATCACATGACGGTGTTGAAACTCCTTAACAAGATTGTTTTCATTCTTAATTATATTGGCAGAGTTCACACTGACACCTGCTGTTAAGATTGCCTAATTCTTCCCATTAGAAGACTATTTCCAATTTCACTGCCAGCTTAACTGTGTGGACTGATCTTTCCTGGGATGAGTATCATCCTGAGACTAAGATTAAAAAAAGAAAGTCAGTGTTTCAGGTAAAAAATTTTTCGTGAATTTCAAGAATGAAGCAGGGGTATAACAGCTTGATAACTGCCTATATACCCTCCTTGTTATTTCATTTAAATATTCAGTTGTCTACATCCCTTGAAACAAGAACTTCAAAATTAGAAGAATGATCATGCCGAAGTCAGACTTAGACTTGGTTTAAGTTCCATAGAAAGGCATCCATACTTGGCCAAGCTATGAGCCTCAGAAAAATCATAGCTAAATGTATCTGTGACATATGTGAAGTGTGTTACAATTGTGTAGCTAACATCTTTGAAGATCCTACTTGCATTTGGCTCTGACAAATCGCCAAGAGCAAAAAAGGCAGATGAGGAACACAAACAGAGACTCAGCAGGTAGGATGGTGAGGACAGAGGTGCAGCAATGGGATGTTACAGACCAAAGAGGAACACAAAAGCTTGGTAAGGCATACAGGTGAACACTGAAAAAAGAACAAATATACACAAGAGAAACAGAAGGAAATACTGGGGAGGAGGACAGGGGCCAAAGTGCATTTAAAAGATGAAGTATTTAAATCATGACTCCAAAGTTTTGACATTTCTCTGCTATATGGTAAATAATCATTAGGCAAACTGTCAGGCTTCACCCTCTCTGTTTACTGGTAATCCACAGACATGCTAATCTATTTTGTTACTTATCTACTGATCAGGTAATAATGGAGTTCTGTGCCAAGGACCTAAAGAGCCCAGGCAGATAATGCGCATGAAATGTCAGTATGCAATTACTCCCTCCCCCAACCCCAAAAAGTCAGCATCAGGTTTCTATGCAGCTGACTACATTAACTGGAAACTGACTCCAGATATGTGATATTATGAAATCATTTTTCCTCCTAAAAGTGAGATTGCCCAATTCATGTTACATAGGAATAAATTAAGAAAATAATTCTAAAACACTCTGTTAAAGAAATTATGTTTTAAATTACTGACATCCCTAGAATTGTTATTGTTGAGTGCTCAGCTGGTAAGACCTACATATGAAATTGTTGTTTGTTTGTTTTTTAGTTAGGGTGAGTTTATGGTTTATTCTTCTTCCTCAACCCCTCCCAGAGAATTTGGAATCAGGAAGCATAGGTTTTAACCCTGAGTTTACCACTAGTTCTCTGTATGGCTTTTGAAAACTCACTAAACCACTCCGCCTGTGTTGCCTGCAGTATCTATAAAATAGATGTGTTGAGTGTGTGCGATTTACTAGCAATTTATAGAACTTTCCACATATACATCAGCAACTACACTTTGATTCAGGTCAGCAGCTGCTGACAGTAACAAAGACTGCAGTTAATGAGAAGAAAGGGCAATCCTCAATGTCTTTCTTTGATGTAACACAACTTAGCATTCACGCTTTTCTCCTCCTGTACTAACAAACCCTCATAACCCCAATGTTTCATGGTCACGAACACTTTGTTAAGTAGAACACCTGCAGTGATTTTAGCCACAGACCAATGTAATTTAGCCACTAATGATCTACATTAGATCAGCAGTTATAATCTGTTTGGTTTGAAATGATCTAGTTGCCTCACTCTTTCTGATTTTTGAGATATAAAATAGACAAAAAATTATTTTAACCTATTTAAATAGGAAAAATATTAAAATAAGTATTTCTCATGATGCTGACTGATATATTTTTGGCGTGGTATATTTCTGAAATATTGATAAAGATTGTGATTATATATAGAATAGTTGATTCAAAGAGCTGTTCTACTAAAGACAACAGAAATTCTGTTATGGGTTCTGCTTAAGTTAGGGTGCCAGGAAGGGATCCAAAAGCTTAATGTGGTGTTGGACTCTGGGTGGGGGGAAAGGAAGAAAAAAGACACAGGTTTATAGTTTGCATTTCAACAAAATATTTTGAAAAAAGAAAAAAAGCACACAACTGCAGAAATGCTGCAGATGTTAACAACAGCAGAGGAATAATTGTACTTGGTTAGAGAAAAAGTCATTTAAGCCAGTATTCTGTGTTCAGTTCTGGCCATAAGTCTTGCATCGTCTCTGGGTACACAACTGCTGTGCTTTCTGTAGCTTACGCCTTGTCCCTGAAGTCATCCTTCAGTCCAAAGAGCTGTAGCTTACTTAAGTCATTTCTTATGTGGACATTATTTTATACCCTTGCTGCCCTTCCCTAAACCTTCTCCAGTCTCTTGTATCTTTTTTGAGATGGCAGGGAGGGACAAGACCAGAACTGCACAACACATTATGGCCAAATCACAGATTTACATAATAGCAGAGTGACATTCTCTCTTTTGTTCTTCATTCTTCTCCTAATAACCCCTAACACTGGATTTACTCTTCTGATCATTACTGAGTGCTTACAGATGTTTCTGTGTGACTATCTGTAACTCCCAGCACTCTAGTCAGCTTAAAACTCTTGTAAGTGAAATCAAGATTTCTTCCCCTTATGTACATAACTGTACATTCAGCTACTCTGAATTTCAGCTGCTATTTTATTGCTCAGTCACTAAGTTTTACTACCCTGAATAAATTAATACAATCAAATTTGATTACCTCACTGCTGATGTTCTTTCAAAGGCAATTTATGAGTATGTTGAACAGTAAAGGTGCTAGCACAGATCTTATGGAACCTCCTTATCGGTCACTTCTTTCCATTGTGAAAATTGATCATTTATTCCTGCCTTCTAACCACTTAACCAGACAAGGATCTTCTCTCTCATGACATGTTACTCAGTTTACTTTAAAGCCTCTAATGAGAGACTTTTCAAAAGCCTTTTGGAAAAACCAAGCTACGTCAATGATATCGCAGTTATCCACGTCACTGTTAACAAGACTTCACTTTACAAAAGCCAACGTAGCTTTTCTCAGAAAGACTATTTCCATCCTGATGTTCACAACACTATTACAGTTCCTGCTAAACTGCATGGTATAGATGTCATGCAAAGCTTGTAGTTCCCCAGATCTCCCCTCAAAACATAAAAAAATTGCCTTCAGATTTTCTACTTTCATTTGTAGGTGCCAAGGCAGTGTTATGCAAGAGGTTACACACTATCAGTGTTTGAGGAGCCATTCCACTACTTTATACTTGAGTTCCATTAGAACTCTTAGGTGAACACAATCCAGTCCTGCTGATTTGTTGCTGTTCATTTTGTCTATATGCCCCATACTGTCTTATGTAGTCAGTTTGTTTTCAGACAGTTCTTCTGAAGAGTCTCTCACAAAGATTTTAGCTTCAAAACCTCCCTGGTTTCTTGTGCAGTGAGTACTGATGCATAGAATTCATTTAGCTTCTCTGCAATGGCCTAACATTCGCCTGTGTGCACCCTTTATACCGTGACTATGATTCTGGCTCTTCAAACTCCCTGGCATGCTTCCTGTTTTTGATATATTTGAAGAAAGATTTATTGTTACTTGTGAATCCTTCTGCTAGATGCTCCTCAAAACTCTTTCCTGGCTCGTCTTATTGTGCTTTTACATTTTATCTGCCACAACTTACGATTATTTTTGTTTTTTTCTTTTTTAATTTGAACATTGTTTTATTGAAGAACATCTTCCTTTTATGATGTTTGTCACTTGCTGCTTAGGTACGCTGGTTTTCTTTTATTCTTTCTCGCACTTCCATTAGTAAGCAGGGCATGTTGGCCCCATGCTTCCAGTATGGCAACCTAAGCTGTCTACTGGTGGACTAGGAGGGTTTAATTCTTTTAGCTGCCCGTTTTCTATATGCTTCCTCTTTTTACGTAGTTCTCCTGTAGCTGTTTCCACAAAATTACTGAAGCCAAGTATGTTATGGTTGCTCTTACAGCACGATTCGTCAACTGTGAGGTTCTGAAGATTTTCTACTTGCGTATTATTCTGAACTAAATCAAGGACTGCGTATCCTGTTGTACTTTCCCTAACCAACTGTTCCATTAAACAGCTACTGACAGTGTCCAACTTTTGATCTCCATGCTATGGTCTGCTGTAGTATTTGCCCAGTTTATAAAGGTACCTGAAGAGGCACATTATTATTCCAGTTCCTGCTTTGGCTGCTTCTCTAGTGTCTCAGAATACTGTGATCAGTATCACCATCCTTGCAGGGCAGTTACATAAAGCCAACACTGTATTTTTTGATTTAGGCTTGAAATTTCAATCCATATGGATTCATAGGGCTGTTTGCTGAAGTGGGGTTTTTTGGTACCTTAATTAGATTCTAATGTCTTTTTAATATATAACAGCATACCACCATGAAGAAGGCCTGATTCATCTTTCCTGTGTATTTTCTGTTTTGGTATTACAATCTTTTAAGGATTGCCTTTCTTCTGTCAAGTTTCTGATACATATACTATGTCACTGCTTTCATTTAGGGCTAGACAAACCCTCATCCTATATCTTAGATTTCAAGCATTTATATGTGCCATGTTTGGTTTCTTCTTTAACCGGAACTCTGTCTCTACTTCCTGTTTGAATGTCTTCTCCCCTCTGATCTATATATCACTTGACAATACAGAATTGCCGTAACACTATCCATATTAGAAATTCAATTCCAAACCACATGCTCTTCTGCACCTATTGGTTTTCCCAACCCTTTTTGGTTTAAAACCTCACTCACGACATTCCTGATTTTAAGTGCCAGAAGCGTGGTTCCCTTATGATTTGGAAGGGGGTGGATCTCACTTCATTGAGGTAATGTTCCTAATTCTTGATAAATCTGGTTCTCTGTTTTTTGCAGCTTTACTATCTGGATAAGAAGATGGTGTCTGTATTTGACACTAACATTGTTGTGCTTACTGAAACAGTATTTTAGCGGGGTGCTTTATAGTTGGGTCAGTTCCACGATCTATTTCAAGGAAAGGGCACCCCTGCCACTGAGTTATGCCAAGGGTGACAAGCTGTGGGGAAAGAAAAAGCAATGAGTAGTAGGGAAGGAATTCCTAAGTGAAAACAGCTACCAAACACTTCACAGTGTGCACTTGTGTCCCCAGAAGTACTCTGTATACAGTAATGTTCCTTTACATGAATTAATGCTATAAAAACGCAATACATAGTTGACTACACTACACTGTTTGATATCATGTAAGTTGCAAAAATTCTTAGCCTATGAGGATGAAAATTCAGATAAATATATTCGCTTTAGAAAATTTCAGGCTAAAGTTTAAAATAAAACTAATGTTATCAGATGTTTTTCTAATATAGGCAATATATTTTCATTGTTTAAGGAAATATAATTGTATACCTTCTTACTGTCACCTTTCCCAGCTTCTTTCTGTCTTCTCATTGTGTGTTCACTTATATTAATAAATATCTCTGTGTGTGATAAACTGTGACAGATTCTCTCATCAAGTATGAAAAAATACATACTTGTGAAATTATAAAAATCCCTTAGCTACCTATCCAAATAAAGTATGAACGAACACTTTTTGGTTACGGCAGATAAACTCATGCTTCCTTGCTGAAATCTGCAAACTGTTCTTTCTTCCTCAGGACGGAATTATTTAGCCTAAATTTCTATTCCAGGGTAACTCCTACAAACAGTCCTCTAAAGTCTCTAAGCCTGTTCTCTTTGAATTTTTTTTTGGAAAAATAATTCCCATGCACTTAAGTTGTCAAGCTTCTCCTGACTAAGCAGAAAGCAATAGTATGTCTAAACACAAGACTTCTATGAAATAATTCCTTCACATGAAGAGAGTAATTTTCCAAATAGGGGGCTTGGGGTGAAAAAAATAAGTAAAGCTAATTCCTATGAACTGAAAGCCTCACTTCAGAAACTCCTTTGTAAAGGAGTCTTTATACGTAGAGGATGGAATAAAGTCCTCCGACTGTACTCACTCTTTCAATGTTTGAAGATGTACCTGATGTCAGAAACAAGTTCACTTTTGCAGATATATGAAATCATGAACTCACTATAACCATGAAGATAATGGACTTAGTAACTGGACATCCTTTACAACAAAATGACTGTAGGAATGGATTAGAGAAGGCATACTATATATTCCAGCAACACCTGGACATGAAGAGAAGACCAGGGAAGTTCATGCTTTTGGAGACCTTCTAGAATTTTACATTCTCTCAACAAATCGTGAGAGGAGATTTTTAAAAACAAAACAAAAAACAATTGTGGTCAAGAATCTAGGGAAGCAACAGACTAGTACATTGCAAAATTACACAGGATAGCTGAATTCTGTAACTATCAGATTAAAGTCCTGAGAAATCAAAAATATGAATGAAGGTGCAGGAGCTTGAATGAAAATACTCAGAAAGCCCACACTAACATGATGAGGAGATACAGACAAGTGCAATATGGAGATTTGCACTGATCTCTAAAATCAGAGAATAAACCGAGCAATCTCAGAGATAACTCAGCAAAAATATAGAAAAATAGCAACTAAAAATCATCAAAAAGTAAATACAGAGCAGGGAAGACAAGCAGAATACAAGACCATGAACAACAGTCCATGGTGTACTGTGAAGAAAAATAAGATGATTGACAGATCCTCTATCTGGGGTCATACACTGACAAAAGAAATTATAATGCCAAAGATTGTAGATAAGGGATAACAGGAGCGTGCGCGGGAGAGAGGGATGTAGAATAAAATAGAAAACATGAACTTTGAACTTTAGTGTATCATGAAACATCAAGACAAGGCAACATACAAACAGGAAATTAAATACCAAATACACTGTAAGACATTAG